GTATAGCCAATATATCCTTAAACCTAGTCAAATGACGCTTCTAAGTTCTTCCGTAAGAACTCTTTGTCATATTGCTCAACTTGTAATTATTATTTACTTGATTGATCTAGCATTTTATAATAGTAATATCATATGTATAGTGACGAGTATAGGGAAAGAGATAAATAATGCACTTGTAAATTAAGGAAGATAGTCAGTCGAATCAGTAGGTCGAGATTTCCTCAATTTTTAAATTAAAATACCAATGAAGATTAGGACAAAATTCTTTTTGTACTATCCAATTATTTATTTAGTACTGGAATTCGTTTATGGATCGATTTTCTCGCATTTGAAAAGGAAGTCCTGTTCATTCATCGCCGGAAGAATGATCTCCCCATTCAATGGTCGATTCGCGTCCTTTGAGCGTCGCCGTTTTGCGGCCGAAGCTGGTTCGAGGCGGATAAGTGGGCAAGGATTAAAAGCTGAAACCTGGCCGCGCATAGAAATGACCGTGCAAAGAGCGACGCGTAACACAAGCGTCGGACAAAGCGACACGTTTGAAAAACGGTCGGCCGGATAAACATCCGTCGTCGTCGCGAGAGGATTCTCGCGATAGGTGTAGCCGCGACGGCGTCGCGTCGTCGCAGCGATCCCCTTTATTTATCCACCCACGCGGTCGTAATTGCCGATTGCGGCGCTCCTTGTCTAACGAAAACCGTCGACTTCCGGTCCGCGGATATTTACCATTGCACGTCACGTTCAGAGTTCACGGCTCCGTTTTTGCCCCCGAAACCTTTCCGTGTAATTAAACTCCGCTGAAGATTAAAGGACTGCGATCTTTCCAATTTAAAAATCTTCTTCACATGTTCAATTTAAAATCTTTATTACATTTCTTTTCAATATTGATCATTTTTTGTATAAAAAATAATAAATCATAAGACGTCTCGTCTTGGCTGAAGAGCAATTCTCGGGCAAGAAATGATCGGCTGATCCTGCCTCGAGAGGAAAACGTAGATCGAACTTCGTTGTTATTTCGGCTCGATCGAGTCTCGATGAAGGATGCGACGACGACGGAGCTGCACGCCGCAGCGACGACGACGGCGCGCAGCGCATCGCGCCGTTTGCGTGGGTGACCTCAGATTACGTCACATCCGTCCCTTGCCGCATTAGCAGACTGCCCACAGCCTTGTCACGCTGTTGAGATAATGGATCCATTCGCATGGATCACGATCCAGGATTGGACGTGCCCGGGACACTGGAAATAAATGCGTGCATAATGATACCGACCGGTATTATTTCATCGACGAGTCGTGCAAGGGAACCGCTTGTTCCTGGTCCACCTGCCATGCGACCAATAAATCCTCGGAAATCGAAAATGGGACTCGCGCGCTGATTAAATCCGCCGGCTAAACGCCCGTCAAGCTCCATCAAGAAAACTATTTTTAAGTATTCAGACGGTTACGCATAAGTCCTTGTCAAATAACGAGACTTCAATTATGTGAATTCCATCGTCGCTAATGTGGACATTTATTCTTTCCCTGATAAAACGCCAGACATCAATCCCCCCCCCCCCCCCCCCCCCCCCCCCCNCCCCCCTCGCGACTGACCGAGTTCTCTCCATTTATTCTTTTTCTTTCAACGAATCTACAGAAGCAATTGCGCTCGTGCAATTAACCAAGACGGCCGCGGGTCGGGACGGTGTTATCGCGACGGTGCGTCGCTCCAGTTTTTCGTCTCGTCGCGGCGACGACAGCTTCGCATCGAGGGAAATCATGGAAATTGCGGTAATTCCCGGTAATCAGTGCCGTAGACGCGTTGCGCAAATGTCCCTCGTTCGTGCGCCGCTGGCCGCCTCGGCCGTAAATCGAGACCGAGATTTCGCGTTTCTTCGGAGGATCCGACGGACAGACGGCCTCGTTACCATCGGAATTGGCAATGATCTTATTGCCTTGGCCAGCGATGCTGTTTCTCTTGGAAATCCATTCATGGCCCGAGGAAACGAAACGTTGCACATCGGATTTAGCTATTGAAGTGGGCCGTCAGCGTTATTGACGATATTATTGACAATGATTATTTTAAACGACGTTACCAATTGTGATCGCAATTAAAAATTTCGCTCTTGTATAATAAAAAATCCTTCGGCAAATAAAAGCAATTGTAAAATTACAAAATGCATGGGTTTAATCGCATTCCGAGACGAAGCTGTTGAATAAATGACGCGTGGGTGGATAGCTGCTCATTATCAGTAGACAGATTTTTAAATTAGTGACCGTATTTGTTAAGTCGGGAGGGTTTTGGAGTGAGACGGTGTGCGACGATAGAACACGGGACTTGCTCGTTTATTTCCTTTCAAATGTCGCTTTTATTCTTCACTTTTTATTTGATAATAAATTGTCTACAATTTGTCCTAGGTTAGTACGTTTTGGAGTTCTCGTGGTGGTGGGGATGGGAGGATCGCGAGAAAGCATCGTAGGACAATCAATAAAACGGTGAAAAAATTTCGGTGATCGTTAGCACTCGGTTTGAAGAAACGAGGGAGTAACAAAAGAAAGGAACACGCGTCGTTTCTCATTTCTCTCTTATCCATCTTTCGATTAGGCGTCGCGTCTGCGGCTCGACGATGTTAAAGTATGCGTATGTGTTTATGTGTATGTGTGAGCGAAAACAGGCGAGGACAGGCGGTACAGAAGACATTGCGATAAGAGGATTGTGTCTGCAGCATGCGTCCGACAAAACGATCGATTGAAGCGAACGGAATAAATAAAGAAAATCATAGAAGGCGTCTGACGATCTTCGATAGGTCGTCTCTGGGACCGCGGAGATCTTTCGCTGCCAGCACGGTTTCTCCCGAATTTCGTGTATTCAAGTAATTTAATTGCAGTCTCTCCGTCGAATGAAAATTCACTGATTTATGACGCGCGGAGTTCTAACGACAGGAATGAGAAATTGCAGCGCCGGTGAGAGACAGTACCCGAGAGCCATTGTATTACTGCGTTTCTATTTCAGAACTGTTGGATCTTCTGCAATCTTTAATTATAAGCGAAGTAACTTTACGGAGGGATCGTGTTTGCGTACGGTTGGGTATTATGAATCATCGCGACTCCGAGACACGGAAACAAAGCACGGAAGTGGATAGATATAATATTTGCGAACGTAAAACCGATTGGAATGGCTAATGAGTCAAGGCTCCTTGGAGCAGCTTGGCGTACGGAGGGGTGAGACGAAATTTTCACTCGCGACTCTTTGAAAAATATGCTATGCCGGATGGCTTTCAGGTACGTAAAGAGCGAACGCCTAAATTATAAATTTCTTCCGCGAGCAAGTTTCGTTACTCGCTCGAATCCCCTAAATAAATAACGCTGCAAGGGTTCGTATGATTGGCGAACGAAAAGAAAGCCATGACGATGACACGAGGTAGTAGATAGAATAGTAGTAACAATAGTAGTAGAAGAAGAAGAAGAAGAAGAAGAATGAGAAGAAGAAGAAAATAGAGATAAGTAGTAGAAAAGTCGAAGATGAGATAGAAAGAAGATGGCGATGAAGACAGAAGGCTGTTGTCGGGAACGAAAAATGACACGGAAACAAGAATATTGACGAGCGCGAACAAAAATATTCACGATTCAACCATAATTGTATTCAGTTGAAACACAACGCGATCGCGCGAAACCGTAGATTTCTCTCACCTTTTTCTCATCGTTCTATCTCGTATCCCTCTCGTCCCTCGACTTCTCTGTATACGCACACACGTATATATATATATTTATTTATATATATATTCCTTGCTAAATCATCTCTGACTCTTTACACTGTGACTTTCTTCGAGGCAAACACGTGCCGCGCGATTGCGCTCGGGGAAACGCAGGCAGCAACCGTAAATACATACATCTGGGAATGCGACGGGGTGCCCCGAATGAATCTCATCCTCTCCTACCGATCCGATACGCGATCGTCCGCGATCTGCGCGCCTTTCTGAGATCGTTGTATCTAACTATGATATATCTACACGTTACTTATACGCCTATATCGATTGGTTGGTTTCCCTCTCGTTTCGCCGCTCGGCCGTTTGTAAACAGGCGAACCAGCCGCGAGCGAAGAAACGTCCACTGACGACGAAACCGGTCAGCGTCGCCGATTTTGTCCCTCGCTTCGACCGTCCGCGCGGCACCGCCTCCGCTCGATCGTTCGTAAGGGAAACGGGTGATTCGAATCGATCGCGGCCGTTCGACGTATAAAAAGATTTATCGATCGATTTCCACGTTTCCTTCGTACGAAGCTGATTTCCAATAAAGACAGTGCGGTTGTGCGACGCTGCCGCGCGGACCGTGCGCGACCCCCGCGGGCCCTCGTCGAGGCGAGCAGTTTATTCAATTATGATACAACATCAACGATCGAATCGAAAATCGCGTGTGCCCCTCTCGCGCTCGACCACGGTCCTCTCTTTTAATCAGTTAATTAATTTCAATTAATCGTCGCCGCGTTCTCGTTCCTCGTTGATTAATACGCTACACGCTACGGTATCGTTTACGATGTACAATATCAATTAATTATCAAATTATTAATTCAATCATTAGAATTACTTTAGAATATTGGTACTCTCTCTCTCTCTTTCTCTCTCTCGCTCTCCCTTTCGCGTCGCCTCCGTATTCCGTATCTTTCACCACTCGCGAAATAATCGCACGATTTGATCGTTTTACGCATTTTATGGTTTCTTTTCTTTCTTTTTCTTTCTCTCTCTCGTTTCTCACCGCGTCTCGTCAGTCACGCGCATTCACGCTATCGTTCACGCACACATTCGGACAGCCACACTCGCGATCAGTCGCAAAGTACATGTATGGCGGTCGACCCGCGGCACACGCATTCGGATACAATCTTAATGAAAATTATACAGGGCGTCCTGCCTTCGAGCAGCGTACGCGTGTCGCCGTTCCTCTGCGCCCGCTCGGCTATTCCACGTCTCCTGTTATAGTTGAATCGTGAGTAGGGCCTTTGCTAATTATTTTCATATTTATATATATATATATATATATATTTATATATATTTATCGTAATAATGTAATTATGTATATAATAATAACGTACGTATAAATAAGTGTGTTTTGTACTATAAAAAAAGTAAAACGCCGAGACGTCGAGGGGGAATCGCGCGGCGCCGAGAGTATTCGATTGCTTCCTCAATGCTTGTATCGTGCCGTCCGTGCCTGGGCGCGTTCGGAAACGCAAAACGAATGACAGAACGGAAGGGACTGGAAACGATGGTGGAGGAAACGGAAGTGGGAAAAGCGGCATCCGGATTTTTTCTCGTTATAATCGAAGTTACATACGTTAAAATTGATCGTGGAAACGATTTTTACACACTATCGTTCTCTTCTCGATTAGGTCGCGTTCTCTACTCGATCGAAGTTTAGCCCGTATCATATATCATATTCATACATATTTCATACATATACATATATATATGCAAATATATATCTATATGTATATACATGTATATATTTGCATTTGTGCTCGAACACTCTGTGGGCCGTCCACGAGCTTCGACCTCGACTCGAGGATGATTTTTTTAAATACAATGCGTTTGGTGAGAATTAGGTGGGTCTCGAAGAACGCATCTCGCTTCGCGCGGTGTGTCTCCTGTGTCTCTCATCATTTGTTTGTTCGTTCGCACCCTCTCGCACGCTCCCTCGCATTCGTCCACGTTCATACGCATACGTGTGTCTATGTGTCTCTGTTACGAGTGTGTACGCGCGCATGTGTGTGTGTATGTGTGTCAATTCTTTTTCTCTAATGCACGGATCGCGACGGACGGCCCGGTCACGCGGGTGCACGCTTCGTTCTGCGCCCACCTCCGGCTTTCGCCGCGGACGCTTTCCCGTAGGAACGAACGGACAGGGCTCGGGAGCACGTCGGCGGCCCCGGGGCTGTACAGTCGTTCGCTGGCAGTTCGAGGTGGGAGAGCTTCCGCGTAGGGAGAACACCGGAGCGGGCGTCGTGTAAAGCCGTTGCAAAAGGTGCCCGGCCGTGAGGGTTCTCGGGGGGGGGGGGGGGTAGGTGTAAATCGCTGAAACGCGTGCACGCGCGTGTGCTCGGGGTGCCGTTCGTGACTCGTGGCCGCGCGGTAGATTCAAAGAACGTTACTTAAATTCTCGTTTTACGTTGCTTAAGAAAAATTATTGTGCCGATAATATGTTGGGTCGCTAGCGAAACCCTAAACAGGCAGTGCAGTACGAGTGAGTCCTTAAGCAATCTCCAGGCAAGCTTCGGCCTAATATCACGTTTCGAGTCCATTGCTCATCGATATAATTAACTTTATTTTATTTATTTACTTATTCATTTTTTTTTATTTTTATCCCTTAGTTTCTCGAGTGTCTGTGTGTACGTGTGCATGTGTCTGTTATGTATGTACGAACGTGTGTATGTGTGTTTGTGTGTGCTCTGGTAATTCTCCGATTTATCTTACACGTGTGTTCTCTTGTCTGTTCTCTCGGCTTCTGAATCCGCCTTTATTTTTTTTGCTTCATTTTTATGTTTTTCATTAATTGTTACTTACAGCGTACGGTTAACGATAAACTTACGTGTCGTTTTCTTTTTTCATCTGATTATTTAAAAGACGTACGGAGCACGGTACAGTTTCTTTGGAAGTATCATGCCGTCGGTATCGTAAAACCTTCTCTCACGAGCCTGCGTCGATCGTTACCATCCGTGTCGTTCGGGAATAATATTTCGATTCATTTCCGGTTTCTCGTTTCCCTGACTTCTGATCTACCCGATAATATTTAGTAACGCTAAAAATCGCGGTCCGCCGCATTGGACGTAGGCGTCGTTAGATATGGAGAATAATGATCGTCGAACCCTTCTCCCGTTCCCTGGATCTTCTCGTTAAACATTCCTGAATCCCGCTTTTAGAAGAGCTCGACTCGTGATCCGCATCAGACTCCGAGCGTAGTGTTCATACATTTTTATTCTCTTAACGTACGGTCCTACTACGTTAGTCGTTCGCGTTGGCGAAATTTATGTATCCTGAGCTGACGCCTGTTACAGCCTTTAATTATACGGATGGTTGCCCAGCTGATAGAATTGACTTGAAGTTGCCTAAACCGGAATCGCGAGCTTATGATCCTCGTTGTGCATTTAACAGTTGGTCTCCGATGATGATCACGGCGACTTGGAATTCGCAATAACTTTCGTCACAGCCGGGATTCGCCGGGATTCCGTACGCTCCCCCGTCCTCCGTGTTCGACTCCGTCTCGTCTCATCGTTAATTTTGGTCCGTGCCCTCGCGCGATTTTCTCGTAAGGCGAGGAAGCGACGAAACCGTGGCGGTTATCCGATGATCGAACTATAATACGTGAAACCGATGATGACTGCTTAGTGCTAGTGAAACAGTGCCGTCAACAAGCGCTCTCGAGATGCGCGCTTTGCCTTCGCCTCGCTTGCCGTTGCCGGAACTGATGGAACTCGGCCTTCATCGCTTGCACCCTGGCTTCGATATTGTCCCTGCTGTACCTCGCCGTCTGGTGGTGGACCGTGTGCACCTGGTGAATATGCGGCACGTGTATCGTGTGGATCTGATGCACCGGGGGACGCTCCTCCCTCGTCGGCGTCGACGCGGACGTAGGCGTCGGCGTGCAGGAGACAGGATCGAACTCGTAATGGTCGTCGACGCTGCCCGCGTCCACGGCGTTCTGGATGTGCGTGTGCCCGACCTTCGCTTGGTCCTGGAGCTCGAGCCACCGGCCGACCAAGGGCGGCGGCGGTGGCCTGTAAGGCGGTGGCCTCCACTCAGCCACGGTGCTACCGCTCCTCGAGCTCTGGTTCTGCTGCGAGGTGTTCTTGCTGCCAAACCCCGAACTGCTGGACCTGCTCTCCGGCGAGGTCTCCAGGTCCGGAGAGGCGGCCAGCTCCGGAGCAGACCTCGCGTGTCTCGCGTGCCTCGGGGGCAGCCTCGCCCTCGGCCTACCGGCAGGCTGAGGCGGCGAGGACGTGGCCAGCGGCTGCACCGGCACGAACCTTCTCGATTCCGCGTGGATCGCCTTCAACGAGGGCAGCTCCTGGCTGTATCGTTGGTGCACGTTGCGAAGCTGGAGGTAGTCGGGCGGTGTCGGGAACGAGCGTTCCCCCGAGGACGGTTGCCTGACCGAGCTGAGATCGCTGAAGTACAGGGGTGTCCATGGGACCTGGTGACCGCTCGGCGAACTGGCCAGAAATCTCGGCGACGAGATCGTGCAGACCGCCGGCGCGATCCTTGCCAGCGAATTCACCGTCCCGTGGTGATGAATGGACGGTAGAACGCCGATCGAGACGCCGCTGCCGTCGGACCTGAGGCTCAGCTGACTGGTGCCGACGAGTGGACGACGCCAAGATGATTTCAGCCGCTGCTTTGGCAGGAACCCGCCGTCGTCGCTGCTCGACGCGTCCAGGATGCTGTTGTTCGCTGAGCTGAGCACCGAGTCGGCCACCACGAAGCGGCCGTCGGCCGCGCGGGAGATCTTACCCAGCGGGCGGCCGCGGCACGAGTCCGGCGTGTCCGGGCTCAGGATCTCCCGCAGGAGATTCAAACCTGGTACTCGGCTTTTTCTAGATCTACGGGTAGGACAGAACGAGCGTTAGAGATCGTCGCAGTGGCGGCCGTTGACGACGGCAGACCGATCGACTTCGTCAGAGAATTTTCCTGTCTATTGCGTACCGATTTAAACATCTCCAAGAAAAATTATACAATAAATGAGAATCTATCGATTTTTGTCTAAACAGTTCTTGGTATCATTTTGTCTTTTTTAATTCGTTACTGTTAGAAAAAAAATATGCAAGATCGGTCGTCTGTTTTTTTTTCGAAAATTGTGTTCCTCCGACGAAGTCGAGCGGCCACCGTGCACAGCGATGAACGTGCAACAACGACGTAAAAAACACGCAACGTTAAATAACACGAACGAAAACGAAAATAGGGAAACGAGGAGCTAGGAAAACAAATTAACGTAAAAGGCAGACAAGTTACAAGTTAAAAACGTACGAGATAATTATTAAAGAATTAATTACGTGTACGTATAATAATGAATAACGGATGCAGGCAGGGGAGGGCATGCTCATGCGCATTCCGGTGCACGAGTGGTCGGGCGTGACGTGGATTCGTGGGTGGGTGGGCGTTGCCAGTGAATGGATCTTTTCTTTTTTTTTTTCTTAATATTCTTTTCTCTTTTCTTTTTTTTTTCATATATCTTTTTTTTTAAAAACAGATCTCTTTGCCCAATCTTTTATCTTTTTTTTTAGTGATAGCAATCGTGGATTTAGGTGCTCCGAAACTCGTCACCTTTTCTCCTCCTTCGGGTCCGGCAGCAAGGAAAGATGGGGGAGAGAGAATGTTGTAACACAACGATTACATTCACAAAAAACAATATCGTGGCGATAATGATAAGAAATATAACGCTAAATAACCGAACGTTACTTCTAGGCGGTGCTGTTTTAGGGAGCAGATAGATAAATTTTAACACGGTTTCACCATCACCGCGAGTCCCGGTTTCGTTCTTTAGTCTCATTTATTTTCACCTTCCTCGAGCGTTCGCAACTGAACAGACTTGAAGTAGGAAACGAAATCGTAAATCAAACATGATAAATAGATGGCGGGTAACCAAGTAAAGAGAACGAACAACGGATCATTGAATTGTGCTATACAAATATACAACGTGTGAAGGAACGAAAAGTGTTAAATTTCTCTCAACATCTCGTAGTACGAAGGGATCGACAGAAGGAGGAATTTTAAGCATATCGAATTAAGTTTGACGGATTCTCAATTATAAGAACGATCAACAATTAATAATATTAACAGCGAAAATATGTCCGGGCGTTTCTGGATGCAGTTTCGGGGGTAGAGCCGCGATGCGTGCGGCTTACCTATCGTCTCTTTAGCTTAGATACGTCCGAGTGTTCGAGTGTGAACGCGTCTTTTTACGGCTCGTCTAATACCGATAGACTGGAAGCAGCAAAAGAGTACAACAATGTACGGTTAAACATTTCGACCCTCGACTACCGTCGCAGCGACGTCACGATTGCATCTTTAATTATTTCTTTTTCACTTTTTTTAAAATCTTGTCAATGTCGTCATGCTCGGTGAAGCCGTGATATGCTACGTGAAGTGGAGAAAATAGCCGCACGAGGAAACGGGTTCGAACCGTTGCCTCGTGACTGAGATTGTAACGTGAAGAAATAGAAGGGGTTAAAAGTGAGAATAAGTACCGCGAGCCGGTTTTGACGTGTTTGATCGATCGTTTCATTTAAGTTCGAGCAACCGGTAACAGTTTTCGTGTCCGTCAAAAGCGGTTCGCGTTACAAAAAATGAAGCAAACTACCGATCGAATGTTCAGTAACAAGTAATCATCGGTGCATCTACAGAAATGTTACGCGAGAATCCATGAAAGTTTAATATATATATATATATACGAGCAAAGAAACTGGAGCGACGCCGATGGTTCGGGCGATCGTTTCGATCGTATGTTCAAACAGAATTAAATCCGTCAACTTGCTGGTTGACTTAGTCGTTTCGCGAAGAGAACCATCGACTCCGCTGTTTAATTATTATCGTCTGTCGATTGAGCGAGAGACGACGGAGCTGCATACGTGAACTGCCTAAGTGAAACGTGAGAGTAATCTCGTGAAGTGGATGACAAAAAACAGGGGAGAAATGAACGAATGAAAAACAAGGACAGCGAGTATGCGTGGAATATTGTTACGACTGGCAGTTTAATAAAAAAAAAAAATAGAAAGAAAGAGGTGAACGATGAGATGCGAGTGAAGTGATTCGTCGAGGCGAGATCGAGAATGAACAAATGCAAGACGAGTGATCACGACGTATAATGAATGGAAGCTAGCCTTGGCCAACCACGGAATTCGAATCAACGTGAAGCGACGCGTAATTAAACGGTTTTTAATCATTATCATGATCGATCATCGGTCTCAGATCTACCGGTCTTGCCTCGTCTCTTATCTATGTACTCCCTAAGTCCGCCGAACGAAGGTATTTAGGGTACTGACTGGATGTTACTAGTGTGACTCCTAGCTGTATTTGCCTGTACTGCTGATCTCATCTACAGTCATGACAATCATCCTAAGTAGATAGTAGATGGTAGTAGTGGTAGATTAGTAGGTCCTAGCAGGTAACATTGCAGAGCTGTAGTCTCGCATAGTGGGTAGTAGTAGTAGCAGTAGCGGTGGTAGTACAGTAGTAGTAGTACAGTAGTAGTAGTAGTAACAGTTAAGTAGTATTGGAAAGAATCGGACAAGTCCCAGGCGGCAAGGTGGCAAAAGACTGATTTGCTCGCTCGATCGATCAACGACGGATCCACGTATCATCGATCGTCAAATTCGTTTTGAACGATCGACTCGTGTCTCTCTTTTCTCGTACTCCGGTGTCTCGGACACGCACAAACACATACATGTATACCGTCGGCGAACTCTTAGAATCGTTCGTGGTCTCGGGAGCAACCGTTGTCACGTAGTAGTAGTAGTAGTAGTAGTAGTAGTAGTAATGATGGTAGTAGTAGCAGTATAAGTAGTAGTAGTAGTAGTAGCAGTATTAGTAGCAGTATTGGTAGTACTTGGTTTTATCTTTCAGTGTGGCTAGCGGAGGTTAGGCTTACTGTTCCGCCTCTCTATGATAAACACGCTGTCGTAATCTCGATTATCGAGGTGATGTGCGTGATGGTCACGATCACGGTTCGGGGGGGCCTGCTCGTGGACCGGCTCCGAGGTGGCAGTGGCGGGGGTGGTTACTTGCGTAGGAAGTGGTGGTTGATGAAGAGGTTGTGGTGGTGGTGGTGGTAGTTGCGGATTCAACGGGCTGCAACGGGTCAGCGTCGAGACTGACTCGTCGCACGCGTTTAGATTTGTCGACCTACAGAAAACACAGAGAGAGAGGAGGACAAGAGACGCCCACGTTTTTTCCTTATTTTTTTTTTTCATTCTAACAGACTTCTCCATAAGTATAATTATTTTCTCTACCCGCGTATCCTCGACAGATTTTCTATCGCGTTTCTTAAAAAGCAGAGAGACCGAGAGGCTGACGTTCCGATCTTCCCTCAGCGTTAAAATTACTTTCACTTCTGGTCGGAAGAACCTCTCGATCCCCGGCAGGACTGTCTTTGACTCGCGTTGGCTCTCTTCTGATCCTTGCTCTGACCGCGAGGGTTCGATCAGCTCCACATTCGTAGCTCGCACCGCGTTTTCCTCTCAATTTTCAATTTCGACCTGAACAGTTCCGTCCGTGATAGAT